TCTCACACAAATCCTTTCACATACAATTCTATTCCTGTACTCTTGAAGTCTTGGTTTCTTGACTCTTGGTTTCAGCAGCCTAAATTTAAACAGGGGGTGTAGGGAAGAGACAGAGAGAGGCATTTTGGTATTCCTGTTGTTGAAACAGTGGGCATCTGAAAATAATGTGATGCTCCTGTGTAGAGTAGCAGAAAAATACGTGTATGTGCTTTGAGCATAGGCTGCACCAACAGGTCCAGTGCAATTTCTTTTGTTGAAAGATGCTGAAGATGATAAAACCAGAGATTGCCTACAATTCAGAAGAATGATGGGGTAGACAGACCACTTTGGATTTCACAGAGGAGAAGGCAAATTAAAATCAGAAGGGTCGGCATGATTTTCATCAAGATTAAAGCCTTATATGGACATAGACAAAATTAAATTGTTAACAAACACTGGCTTATTTGCACGACCGTGGAAAAGTAATTACACAGTCATTCCTCCCCTGCTCTCTGCTCTCTCCTCTATGCAACCATTATGCACTGGGTTCAACATCACAGAGGGCAGCTCTCCAGAAGGGGAAAACTACTGAATGATCACCCTTGTCCCTGGAGGTTTTGCTGACCTGATGTTTGCTAGTATGTTTTCAGAACTTCTGCTGTGGTTCTTTCTCAGCACCCAGCAACTACAGCAATGGCCAAAATCCTCTTGTGTAGTTACACTGTCAGAAGGGAAGTGGTATTGCTCACAGTGGCAAGTTGGCGCTAATTAGCAAGTTCCCACCAGGCTCATAACTAGGAATCCAAATGGGGACTTGTTAATTAGCATCATTTCCTCTCTGCTGAAGAAGAGGATTTTGACCCATGTTATCAATAAAAGATATCCCTCATTATTTTCCCTTCCTTCTAAATTTGAGGAAGCTATTTGCGTTCTGAACAAGGCATCAGAGTGGACTGGATCAGCCAGGCATGACAGCAATGTTCTTGGTCAGCTGAAAGACAGATCAAGGAACAGAGGGATTCAGAGATACTGGATAGGGTTACATTCCCCCCTGAAGATGCAGGCTCATAGAACATGAATATTCCAAGATACAGTGGTGCCTCGCATAGCGAGGTTAATCCGTTCCGGATTAACCCTCGCTATGTGAAAACATCGCTGAACGGGGCAGGAAAAGCCAACGATGTTTAATGCGTTCCAAAAAGCTCCTTTACTCACCGTTCAGCGATGTTCCAGGATGGCCGGCAGCCATTTTCGCGCCCTCCCCTCACTTAACGAGGGCACCACTGTAGAGCCCTGAATCTGGTTCCCCATTTAAAGCTAACACATTAGCTGGAGTTATCTGATCTGGCTCAAATATACATGCCTTTATGGCCTATCTAGACTGGCTGTTTTGGGCATGGGCTGGATCGGGCTACAAATGGTCTGCTGAAGTCAAGGGAAGGGGGGATGTGCCCTTTGCCTTGCTTCTCCCGTCTGAACAGAAAACAACCCCTTGTAGCCTGATCAGCTGTCAATTAAGCACTTCCTCTAATTGTTTGTGGTGGGTCAGGGGAAGTGAAATTATTATTTTTACATCACTCCTATCCCCCTCCGTTGGTGCCATTCCATTTTCTCCTTTCCCCTCACTTGCTTCCCTTCCTTTATTCTTCCTCTCTCTACTTTCTCTATCCACAACAGCAGTTGGAAGCTGAGGCTGCTGGAGGCTATAATCTCCCAACTAAACAACAAGCATACCAAAAAGAATACATGCCTTACCATTGGATCAGAAAGGTGTGTGACAGCTCTTAAATGGGAAGGATGGATAATTAAAAGTAGACACACTTGCAGACAAGGTCTTTCCCCCTCAGATCCAAACTGTGAACACAACAATCTATATATCATATCTACATGCCAGTGTGGACAGGCCCTTAGTTACATCCCATCTGGATTATTGTAATGCGCTGTCCATGGGGCTGCTTTTGAAAACTATTTAGTTGATCCAAAATGATGATGCTACTAACCGGGGTCAGTGACAGGGAATGTAAAACTCATGTTACAACAACTTCACTGGTTATCAAGTTTAGTTTGGGGCACAATTCTTGGTGCTAGTTATCTCCTTTAAAGCCCTGTAAGACTTGTGTCCAGACTGATGGAAAGATCATAGTTGCTCATACCAAGTGCGCCTAGGCTTTCAAGATTGGAAGGATCTTCTCTCAATCTCATCATCTTCAAAGCCTTGCTTGGTGGGAGCATGACACCGGACCTTCTCTGCAGCCACTCCCAGGAAATTGGAAATCAAGAGGGTGTAAGTTGGCCATTACATGAAGGACCTTCTACTAGCATTTGAAACCCTTCTTGTCTGGCAACCAAAATGTACAAAGAGCCAGAACTCCAGGTAAGGAAATACAATCCAGAACAAGCCTTGCTTTATCTGTCATCTAATGATGCACAAGCAATTATCTAGCTGAGATTCTCCACGCAAAAGGGACTCCATAATTGCTTGCTTTGAGTTTTATGAGGTCAAAACCTGTACGTTTGGTAGTGCCATTCCAATACAAACTTACTTCAGAGTAAGCCCCACTGAACACAATATGATTTACTTCTGAGTAAACACAAAGAGGATTCCATTGTAAATAAATTAACACAGATGCCAACAACAGCCACATTTTCCATGTCACTCCTCGCAGGATGTTCTACAGCTCTCCTTAGTAACCTTCAACAAAGAGGTGTCATGCAGTGAAATAACTATTCAAGGAAGTAAACAGCAGGAAGAGTCTCACTTCCTGGCACTAACCGGTTGTCAAGCGCCAAAGGCTTCTCCTTGTCTTTAGGTGATATCTTTGGCTGGAGAAAAACCCTGCCAGCTACAAAAATCTGCACCTTCTTGATAATCATGACGATGATGATTGGAAGGCTGAGAAACAGAAAACAAAGGAAAAAAACCCAATTTTAATAGACAAACTAAAACGAAGGTTGTGGCAAAGTCTGAAGCTATGGAAGGACAATTAGGAGAACCACATGAAGCTGCTTATCCTGAGGCTCAGAGGTCCTGCCTGCCCTGATGTAGACAAAGGCAGGGATTACATCCAGTGTTATAGTGAAACACTTTAAAGGTGTTTTGATAAGTTAGGATCCAAGGGGAAACTACATGCATGGGGTAAAGATAGCTCAGCGATTTTAGGTAGCTAGCTCAGCAAAGATAGCTGGCTGAGTAGGTATCTGGCTGCAGAACCAGAAGCTGGGAGTTCGATTTCTCAAGTAGAGCTAGCCTGTGTAACCCTGGGCAAGCTGCACAGCCCCAGGGCACCCCTGGAAGAAGGGAATGGTAAACCTCTTGTCACTATTCTCTACCAGGAAAAAGGTCACAGTTAAGTCCAAACTGACTTGACAGCACATGATTATTATTAAACAACTACCTAGGCAACTAAAGCTTTCAGTTAATTTCTCGCGGCCAAAGAGGTGTGCTGCTTTTAAGAAAGAACGAGAGAGGGAGTTGCCTCTCACTAGGGACAGTAGCATAGCAAGGAAAGTTGGAGTTGTGTACATAGAATTTTCCTGGATGCGTGCATTCCTTCTTTGGATCCTAGCTTACAGGGTCATCTTAAACAACAGAATCTTCTGCAACATTAAAGACCATGGAAATATATGATGGCTTTTGTGGATGCGATCCACTTCATCAGACAAAGGGAGGGGCCCATGAGTGCTTACTAATTTCATAGTAAATGTCCTAGTCCTTGAAGTGTCACAAGGCTCGTGGTCATTTTTGCTGAAATGAGCAACATAAGGGTCACTCTGGAAGCTTATCCTGGAAATGTGCACCCATTTAATGTAACACAAGAGACCATTTGTCATAGCAGTTCATGCATTTTTACAAGACAGGGTTCAAGGTCAAGCATTTATTGTCTGATGCTCCCCAGTTCACAGTGGCTGAGGCCTTCTTTTCCTGCAGTTGGTCTCCAGCCAGACTGCCTTGCACACAGCAGCGGTGTGACTGGGGATCAAATTAGACATTAAAGGGAATGTGCACCCCCTGCAGTTTGCCTCTTCTCCCTCCTACAGCATGATTCCCTCAAAGATAAGCGCCTCAGCAATCAGATTGGGAAATTAAGCTTATTTTCCCTTCCGACCATACCAATCATAAAACAGTTTGCCGCAATATACAGATTGCAGAAGGGAGAGTAAAAACCGAAGCTCCAACAGACATGTTTCACCACTTGAGGGAATGCTGCTTTTAGGCACGCATTTGGCCCCTCGAGAATTGGCCCTTCCTTGAGGACATGCGGAAATGCTCTGCCTACCGGGGTCTTTAAAGGAAAAATAGTTTTAATTGCTCACACTTACATTACAAGCCCCCACTTGTTGAGAAGTTCCATCCACTCACCACGCTTCATGGGCAAAATCAGAACATACATGAGAACCATTCCAAGCACCGTTTCCAACAGATGCATGATGAGGTAGCCTAGCAAAGAAAAACGGAATTAGTTGTTCCCAGACAGACAGGAAATGGCAAACCCCGCCCTGCCAACCCTAGACAACTACACCCAACGCCTACAACAGAAATGTCTACATACCCCAAAGGATATATGCAACTTGCCAGGCTGTGAATATCCCTAGTGATATCTGTAGGTAAAACAAACAGACAGAAGGGCAGCTCTTTTATGTAGGAATCCTACAAAGTCAAGACCAAAGCACAACGTATTTATAGGACAACAGCATATGCATGTTCAGGATGGGCTCATTGCAATTTCCAAGAACTCAAAAGGGTGAAATTTTAAAGGAAGCCCAAACAGAAATGGGAGACTCAGCCCTTCTAGACAATGTTCTCCACGTTGCCCAATGTCCAAGACCAGCCAGGAGTTCCAGAAGGAATACCACGGTTGATGGTACCAAAAACTACCAAGATGTCTAGGATAACTGAGAGGCAACACCTCTCTCTCATCCAGTCTCTGGCACAAGATGTCTAGGATAACTGAGAGGCAACACTCTCATCCAGTCTCTGGCATAGGTTGCCCAACTAGGTGTCCAAAGCAATTCCAATCTGATATTGCATTTGAAAACCTGATTGCTATAATCAGCAACATCTAGATTTGCATGGAATTATACCATTACCAACTTATCAGTTTGGCCAAGTATGATCAATTTCAGACTGACTTTTATCATTCAGTAAAAATACCAGATCCAAGGGAGGGTTGTTTAATAAAGATCTTATGAAACCCTCTTTTGAATCTTGGAGGGGTAATTCCCTTTTACAAACAGTCATTAATCAAATCCCGTAATCATGACATCAGTCTCACTTTGGCAGATGTAATGAGCCAAGAAGGTCAAAGGTCAATTTGACAGGGATGTTGTTCTGTGCTGTTTTACGGCAACTCCATGAATGAGTACTCTCCAAAATGTCCAAGAATTCAAAATGTCAAGAACTGCAAACTACAACTTCTCTTAGGGAGCCAGTTTATCTCATATGTGGTTTTCCTTTTTTCCTGCTGCCTTCCACTTTTCCCAGCATTATTGTCTTTTCCAGAGAATCCCGCCTTCTCACAATGTGCCCAAAATAAGACAGTGTCAGCTTCAACATTTTTGCTTCCAGGGATAGTTCAGGCTTGATTTGATCTAGGACCTATTTCTTTGTCTTTCCGGCAGTCTAAGGTATCTCCTCCCCTTAACAGAGGATGATCCCCATAATTCCAGACTCCCTGTTCACATCATCAGAATATCTTATCTGAAAATAATCTCACCTAACTGTACAAGTAGACCAATTCAGACCAATTTTTGATCAGACACTATTATGTCTAGAGGGTCCTGAATCTGGCAAAATATTAAATATGTATTGGACTTTTGTGGTATCTTTGTAGTGTTGCCACCATCTTGACTGTCAGTTATTAACAAAATACTGAATATTTTTAAAATTAGCATGTACAGAATCATGGCCTTTCAAACATTACAGCCTGGAAGCAATTTCTAGTTTTGAAATGGATATGCTGGACACACAGTTTCAGATTTCAGCAGGGGTAGAATCCACGAGGAAAGGGAGATGTCAACCATTGAAAGGTTAGTTCCTATGTTCAATATTAAATTGGAAAAAAAGAAGAAACAACAGGGCCTGTTAACATTCCTTTCTTGTACAGCATAAGGACCAGGGTAAAGGTGCATCGAATCACATACGGAAATGATTCACACAAATGAAAACATATTCAACACAGTCATGCTATGGAAACAACATATATACTGTACATGTCTCGTTACTCCGTTGAAGACACAGAACACATGCATTTTGTAAATCTGTGATCTATAGGACACTTTTCAGAATTACAGCTTCCACTATAATCTAAAAGTCAAGCTCCAGAGGCTTTCAAAAAATTGTTACACATCTTGGCCAGAATCCTATTGCGATTTACGTCAGCACAAACACAGAAGCTAACTGTCACTAATTAATGAGTTGCCACTGAACACACACTCCAGGTGGTGTATGACCAGTAGTACAGAAAGTCTTTTGTCAATTAGCGACAATTCTTTTTGCACAATTACACTTACGCCAGCATAAATCTCCTATAGGATTCTGGCCCTTATGAAGTGAAACTGCCCCACAATGAATTCCCTGCCTTCTCTCCATAGAATACTGTATGTTGCTTAATTGCCTTTTCAGCGGACACGAACAAAGTGCAGCCCTCCCAATGTCATTGGACTTTCACTCCTGTCAGTACTCATCAACGTAGCCAGTGGTGAAGAATGCTAGGACTTGCAGTCCATTCCTTCCTGAAGGACCATGTGTCCCTCCTCTCTGTGTTATACAGTCGCTTCTGCAGACAACTGTATCATTTTCAGTGACTTTAAAGAGAAGGCTCCCTGGAGTCTCGGCGGATGAATCTGGGCTCCAGTGAAATCAATGCAGATTTACTTCTGAATCCAGGTCTGCCAGGAAAATGGTGGACAATGTTTCAGAGACAAAGAGTGAAAACTCACCACACTTAGGGAAGGAGATATTGTTATAGATTCTGGCACTAGGAGGTACTTCTTGCCAGCCCGGAGCAGCTTTATCTGTTTCCTAGGGTAGAAACCAATAGAACAGAACTTTTACAGAATTATTAGTTTATAGTGGCATGAAAGCCGCCGCCACCACCACCCGTTTACATGGCCAGGAGGGAGACGTCTCAAATGTAACGTTAGAGGCTTTGTGTTGCTGGGACTAGAGATGGGCATGAACCATAAAAACTATGGTTTGCAGTGGTTCGTGGCTACCTACAAACCACGAACCATCTGAACTTTTTTTAAAAAACAAACAAACTATGAACCGGTTCATTTTTTAAAAAAGTTTGTGCCTTTTCAAACAATAACAAGAAGAAATCCTGACCCTCATCCCCTTTTCACTCCCATTTCCTCCTCACCTTTTGCTACTACCGCCATCTTCGGAGATGAGAGGTGAGCGCATGCACAGAGGCAGAACTGGCGGGGTGGGGAAGGCCACTCGGATGCCTCTCCAAAAAAAAACAAAACCCCCACAACATTTTTTTTGAGGAAGGTAGCAGGGCAGGCTGTGGGGGAGGGGGGAATGAACCAGGAAGTTTTGGAAACTGCTAAAAAAAATTGTGGTTCGGGTTCTCTGGTTTGGATGAACCCAAACTGACCCAAAACAACAAACAAGCAATTTCCCATGAACTTTCTAGTTCGTTTTTCAGTTTGTGCCCATCTCTAGCTGGGAACCAGACCAAAAGAGATTTTCATTACATATCGCTTAATTACTGCCCCAGGAAATGGTCTCATGGAGATCTGGCCAAAATGTGTTAAGCAGTTTTTAAAGTACGTATCATACATCAATTTCTTCAATGTCATTACATTTTATTTCTCCTTCACTTTCGGTTCCACTGCATGTCTTCCGGTTTTCTTTGGCATCAGCAATCAAAAACCTTAAAATTCAATCAAGGAAGGGCTTCTCCTGCCTATAATTATTTCATTGCTTTTGTTTTTGTTTAAATTTTTTTTAAAAATTACACCATTTGCATGAATCCTCCATTTCACTTCCTCTGCTACCATAGCTGGAGAAGTAAGCAATTACTTTATGAGAAGCATGAAAAATCTGACATTTGCTGACATAGTGGAACTGGCTAGATAGCTGAGTGCATTGAGCACCCGGCTGCATGGACAGAGGTCAGGAGTTTGATTCCCCACGGTGTCTCCCACGAGACAACTCATCCTGCGCAACCTTGGGGGAGGTGGGCAGTCCCAAGGTGCCCTCAGAAAAAGAGAATGGCAAACCACTTCCGAGTGCTCTGTACCTAGGAAACCCTGCAAAGGGTCACTTTAAGTCACAATTAATTTGACAGCATGCAGTTATTATTTGAAGTCTTGGACCACAAGGCTGCAAAGAGGAGGAGGAGGAGGAGGAGAAGGACATCATTCAACTGAATAGTCAGTAAAACAGAAGTTATTCTTGGATGACTTCCAGGCAAGGATTTATTATGGAATTTGCAAGGAGGAGGAGGAGGAGGAGGAGGAGGAGGAGGAGGAAGAGAAGAAGGACATCATTCAACTGAATTGTCAGTAAAACAGAAGTTATTCTTGGATGACTTCCAGGCAAGGATTTATTATGGAATTACCACCAGTCATTTTTCACTTCCTTTGGAAAATTCACACTGTGGCTATTACGAAAGACAAGCGAACCTATGCCTAGCACAGGCAAATTCAACCAACTGATGTCTTTACAGTGGTGCCTCGCTTAAAGATTTTAATTGGTGCAAAAAAAAAAAAAACATCGCTATGGGAAAACATCGCTAAGCGAAACGCGTTTTCCCATAGAGATGCATTGAAAACCGGATAATCCGTTCCAATGGGAACGGATTGCCATCCTTAAGCGAAAATCGCCATAGGAAAAATCACTAAGCAAAACGCGGTTCCCCAATTGAAATGCATTGAAACCTATTCAATGCATTTCAAGGGGGGGGGAAATTACAAAACATTCGAAAAGAGTCAGAACAAAGCCAAATTAGTTTAACAAAGGGTTTATTAAGTGTGCTAACTATTTCAAGCATTCTAAACCCTTTTTAAACATTTTAAAACCTTTAAAAAACAGCGAACACAGGGCTGTCAAAACCATCGTTAAGCGAAACAGGGGGACCTAAACTGTCATCGCTAAGTGAAGCAAGGTCCCAAACATCGCTATGCAAAATTCACCCATAGGAAACATTGCTAAACGGAGCGCAAGATCGCTCCGGGAAACTAATCGTTAAGCGATTACATCGTTAAACGAGGCAATCGCTAAGCGAGGCACCACTGTATTTACATCAGAACTGCATGGATTTTTTAAAAAGGACTGAACAGTAGCAGTACTGGTACTAGTTTGGACAGAGCACAGAGAGAATGAACAATATTCTCCAACGGTGTGGAAAAGTTGGTTGTGATTCGATCGCTAGCTTAGAGCAGAAGGGCATGTATCTAAACTGGGGCAGGAACCCTGCTTAATCCAACAGTGTGGGTGTGCTATGAAGGGTGAGAGTGTGGTACTGTAAAAAACCGCTGAATTTGGCAAAGCCAAGGACTCACAACATGTAGCTGCATTGACTGGAAGTGCTTGTAAAACCAGTAGGAAGCTGGAGAAAATACAGTGGTGCCTCACTTAACGACATTAATTTCACAGCGAAATCACTTTAGAGCGAAAACGTCGTAAAGCGAAAATAAAAAACCCATTGAAACACATTAAAACCCGGTTAATGCGTTTCAATGGGCTAAAAACTCGCCGTCCAGCGAAAATCCTCCATACAGCAGCCAATTTCGGTGCCTGTATAGCTAGGAATCCATCCCTAAGCACAGCGGGGAGCCATTTTGAGCACACGGTGGCCATTTTGAAAACCCGATGATCAGCTATTTTGATCGTCGTAATGCGAAGAATCGGTTCCCAAAGCACGGAACCGATCTTCGCAAAGTGAAAAAAACCCATTTAAAACATCATTTTGCGATCGCAATTGTGATCGCAAAAACATCGTCGTGAAGTGAATTCGTTGAAATGCGGGGTAAAACGTTAAGCGGGGCATGACTGTAATGGGAGAAGATGAACATGTGACATGAAAGAAAGACCCAGAATGAAAATAGAAGGAGTGTCCATATATATTGATGGCAGAAGGAGCAGGAGAGTGGTTCCCAACCTTGGGTCACCCAGCTGTTCTTGGACTGCAATTCCCAGAAGCCTTCACCACCAGCTGTGCTGGCCAGGGTTTCTGGAAGTTGCAGTCCAATAATACCTGGGTTACCCATGGGTAGGAACCACTAGAGTAGACAGAAAGGTCAGCTGGGATCCAGAAATTCCCCATGTTCTGTTGCCTCTATTTTTAGTAGGAAGGCCTGGAAAAAAATTGGTCCAACTGTAGCTGTTTACCATGAGCTTCTGTGGTACAATAAACCACTGCAAGAAACCAATAAGGCTGAATACTTCTGGCCGGACTGTCACAACGCAAACCAGAGGTTAAATGTCTCATAGTAATGATAATCTTAGAACTGCCAAGCTGGAAGGAACCCTATGGATCATTGAGTCCAGCCCCTGTCAAGGGGAATCAAGCTCCCAACCTCTGGCTTGGTAGCCAGAGACCTAAACCACTGAGCTATCCTGCCCTCCTTCCATCTCTCTTCTTTCCTTTTATACTGACATCTCATCTTTTCTTTCAGTTGTGGAATTAACTAAAATTAACATTATGCCTGCACATGAATACGCTGTATCCATAGTTAATCCAAGGCACAGTTTTTGCAAACCTGTTATGGCCCATGATTGGGAACTATGGCTTTTCGCTAGCTAAGGTTGGAACAACCAGCATCAACTGCATGACAACCATATTACCTTTTAAACCCAAATGGAAGAGGGAATGCCATGCAAGTGGAAAGCAGGAGAAGCACTCCTGGTCACCCAGTCACTGATCAGTATTTGTTCTGCACCAGACCTCTGTAATACAAAATAGATCCATACCTGTAACAGGCTAAGAGGTTAAATACATAACCAATGCACGTGACAGACGAAAAAGCCATGGAGAAAAACCAAGCACCTGCAAAACAACCAACCAATATCATTGTTATTCAAAGATATTTCCCTCTAGCCTTCACACCCCAGACTGGTAGCATTCTAACCTCCCAATCACCCTAAATTAGAAAAGTACTACACACTCTATGTGTGAAATATACATATAGCAGTAAATATTGATCATTATATGTTCTAGGCACCTGAAGTGTTGCCCTTTCTTTTTACACTCTGTGGCCAGTATCACATTGCATAAGTCCACCTAGGCAATAGCAGTGACATCAACTAGCTGTGGCAGGTTGCCACTAATTAAAGAGTTCCTTTTCCAATTCTAGGGTGCATTCACACATAAAGATGCAAAGTTGGGTGCAACCCAAAATCTAAAAAGAAACTCTATAATTAGTGGCAATTTGCCACAGCCAGTGACATGAATCTCATTGTGCAGGTGGAGTTACACAAACGGGTACTGGCCATTGAATTATGAAAGGTGTTGCCAAATTTTTGAGCTGACTAGGCTTGGTTACTGGGTGCTTTCTGCTCAGGGCAGATTTCAATCAGTGACAATGCTGACCGCATCAGTGGTTGCTATACATCTTGGGATTCAACCATGCAAACATTGTGGAGTTTGTCAACATGAGAAGCTTGATTTTCTGAACATGAGTGCCCATGTTCACACAAAGGCAGAAATAGTTTGATGGTAACAGTGGGAATATTTGCACACCTACATGTATCTGCAAGTCAGAAAGGGAGCGAAAACAAGAGAATGAAGACGTATCCTACCACTCCAAAAGGCTAAATGGGGGGGAGGGGACATACGTAATACATGGATTACCTCTTTCACTGTTTTTTTAGCACTTATTTGTGTTTTCCATTTCTCAGAGTGGCATTTAGTTTTTTTTTCTCTTTTTAATATTTGTATACTTATTGTTCTTAGCTTTAATACTGCCTTTTAATTATGTAAGCTGCCTCTTTATACTCATTGTTCTTAGCTTTAAATATTGCCCTTTAATGATGTACATCATGGTTGTATATTCATTGTTTTCAGATTTAAATATTGTCTTTCAAGGTTGTAAGTTTCCTTGGGTCCTTTTTAAGACGAATGGTGGGGGATGGATGGATGGATGGATGGACGGACGGACGGACGGACGGACGGACGGACGGACGGATGGATGGACGGACGGACGGACGGACGGACGGACGGACGGAGAGAAGTAAATTTGAAACCCAGGCAGAGTCAATGATACTAGGTTACGTGAACCTAAGATGTGACGTATTTTAAGGAAGCTTCCTGTACTCCTCCACAGCACTGGTCAGCACCTTGTGACTGACCTTCCTCTGAGTGCTACCCATCCTCTCTCTCCTCTAAGAAGAGTTACAACCTAGGAGGGAGACATCTCAAAGAAATAATGCTTGGAGAAGGAAACAGAGAATATGCTTTGTTACTTATGTTTCTAAGAAGAAGGAAAGTAGTGCTTTCACTTTTCTACATTTTCCTGAAATGGTCACAGAAATGGGTCACTGAAAAATCTATACACACAGGGAGTGAAGCTGTCAGTCTGTTCAAGTGGAGTCTGGAGAGGATCCTCCTAAATGCATTCAGGGGAAATAGGAAGAATGTGGTTGAATAGCATCCTATACAAAAACAGGGGTCAAAAGTGGTCTTCATCCAAGTAACCAAAAGCTGAAGGAATTGATTCATTTTACCCTTCTGGTGGCCAAAGATGGCGCCACCAGAAATCTGGAGGGAGAAGCTTCAGGAAATATATTTGTTCTTTCTACCTCCTTAGGACTGTGAGTATCCTTCAGCCACAAAACCTAACAGTGTCAAATGCTTATTCAGAGCCTGGGATAGCAGCTGGAATGAATTTTGTGGTTTTGTTGGAAGTGACCAAAACAGCCAATACAAAGTTTGCAATGGAGGAGGTGTCAAGGCACAGCCATTTTAAATTGCCTCAGCACTGACATAAGGCTAAGGGGAAGGTGGCCAAGGCATGAAAAAGGCTCTCCTACGGATGAAGCTGAGAGATGGAAAACGTACACAGGAGTTACCCCTCTTCTCTGAGCCTGGTCACACAGCCAAAAAAACCTGGGATTTGACCTTTGTTAAAAACTGTGCTAAGTTTCACATTCACACAATGGATTCCGAAATGCATATTGATTTTTCCTCTGACTTGGTTTATTTTCTTAGGAAGCAAGTTAAAACAAACAACCACTAGAGGGCCGTTTATTTTAGCATGCTGTTTTCTTAATTGACTTAAGCTCATTGTGAACCTTACAGCCAGTTTTAAAAGGGAGCTTGTCCATGCATGGCCGATTTAAGAACACAAGTGAAAAGTTTGTTGCCTCCAAAATCGGTATATTAAGAGAAAAGATGCATTTCAATTACTAAATAGGAACGCAGAAAATGGCTCAAAAATCACATGAAGCTTAGAAATAAAATTATTTTCACTATATATTGTGGGGGTTTTGGAGAAATGTCGAAAGGCCCTAAGACGAAGAAATTGTTGTTTTCTCTTTTTATTGCTTTGTTGATGGCGGGGACAGGCTCTAGAAGAAAACTGAAGCTATCTCCTGTGATGCAGATACGAGTTTGGATCTGGAGCAAGGAGAGAAGTTTTTTCTGGCCCTGAAGAAGAGACTTTTCCCATATCGTGTTGACCTTTTTCCCATCAAAAGGAAAAAAGAATGGGCCAGTGTGTGTAAGCACTGTCACTTTCTCCTTGCTTGTTCGGTTTTGTTTCATCTCATCTATGGATTATGTTGCAACACATTCCCCACCATTTTTATGCAAAGACAGTCCCAACAGACCACATAACATTACATTAAATTGAAAAATCATGTTTGCTGTACCTTTGGTGATATCAAGAAATTCTTCAATAATATAGAAAAACGATGTCATTTCCTCTGACCCGTCATAGAATTTCACTTTGATGATATCAAATAATTTTCTGATCATTTTCATTAGACTCTGGACCAAAATAAATTCACCTAAAACAAACTGGAGGGTGAATGAAAGCCAATATCAGTAGTGGGTTTGAATATCTCAAGAAGAAAGTGATAAGATCAAATCATGCAATAAGTTGTCATGGGTTAAAGTTACTTAGGTATATCTCGAATAAAGAATGCAGATAATAATTTTAAAAATAATTGAAAAAATAATCATGCCTCTCAAATGAATGATATAAACATATTTTCAGCCTTTTCCTTCTTGTGAGCGTCCAGATGCTTTGCAGTACTACTCCACCTAGATCTCTCAGACTGAGACAATACCAATCTGGAGGGCATCGGGTGGAAGCACCCTGTCTCACAGGGTGGGACTATCTTTAAGGGATACAATGGCTATCACAGATGCCATTCATCGGGAATCTGCTGGTTTCAGCAGACCTTGCTTGGACCAGCCAGCTTTCCTTCCAAGCAAAGCCAGCCATTAGACTGCTTTTCGGGTCAGTAGCAAATACTTCAGAGAATTTTTTCTTTTACATACTATATAAAGGCTAACGATGATAAGCACAGTTGTGCTAATGATCCTGCTTGGGAACTGGAAGTAAGGATCCCATTCGTACAACTTCTTCCGAAACCATGATTTCTGAGGTTGCCTGTTGGTAGACAGAGATATAAAGTGGGAGATTAACATAGTTCAAAGAAGGGATGCTCCGAAGCACCTCTTGCCTTGCTGATGACCAGTCCAAATGCTTGGAGAAAGAAGCTCTTTCCCCTTTTTTGCTCAGAATTTCAAACCCCTTATGGCTGAGGCTCCTACTCATATGTCTTTTTTTTAATTGGAGGCTGGTAACTCCAGTTTCAGAGGTGCTACAAATCCATTCCCATTTTTTGTCCTTACTTTACAGAAGCTGTCCACAGTACTGAACCCTACTCCAAGAATAGGTTCAGTATCTGGAATACCTCCTGTAAAGCACAGATTAAAACCCATACTGGATTCCCAGCCACCTCTGAAATAAGAGTCTCCAGCCTCCACTGGTGCGAACAGAACCTGTTTTGAGTGTTTGTCTTACCCAGGGAGGGACCACACAGCAATCGGGGGGGGGGGAAATAACTCCCTCTTCCTTGGAAGGCAGACCAAAAGCAGTAAAAAAAAAACTGGCCTCCTTCCAGGAAGAGAGAAGCTCTGTCAGTCTGTGGCTACGATCATCTCAAAAACAGGAGCATTTGTAACTGTTTCTGGTTTGGTGGAAGGCAAGCAAGTTGAAGGAAAACCAGGATGCTACCAAGACTCTTCTTGACTGCCCAATAAGTTGAGACCAGCTTTCCTCCAGGCCATTAAATTCAAAAATAGAGGGAGGAAGCAGACTCAGCCAGTCCAAAGGCATGTACGGGTTACCACCCTGCCTCAGCCCAAGCTGACAACTTGTGTCACCTACGGAGAATAGGCATTCATTTAATGGCCTAGAAGGAAGATGATCCCAGTCACTGGGGTTCTGCCAGGCTAAAGGATGGAAGTCTCATATACAGCACACGTCAGTTTTTCTGTCCCTGCCATCTAGCACCCTTCTACCCATGCAGAAAAAGTGCAAAAGGAGAGACATTCAGCCACACTGGAATAAAGATTACTGTCACGATCCCCGCGTGGCCCTTGCTTGTTTCACCAAACTAAGAGCTCACAATACATGCCACTCAGCTGCCACCAGTTGACTACATCAACATTACCTACAGTGGTGCCCCGCTTGACGACGATAATCTGTTCCAGGAAAATCACTGTTAAGCGAAATCGTCGTTAAGCGGAAAAAACCCCATTGGAATGCATTGAAAACCGGTCAATGCGTTCCAATTGGGAAATACCTCATCATCCAGCGAAAATTGCCCATAGAAAAAAGCCGATCAGCTGTTAAAAATCGCTGTCCTCCGAAGCAGGGGTCCGGAAAGCAGCCATTTTGCGAAGGGAGGGAAGCCATTTTGCGGAGGGAAGCCATTTTGTGGAATTGGAAAAATCATCATATAACGACCAAACAGTTCACGAAGCAGGCTCCTAATAAACGTAATGCGGATTTCCCCCATTGGAAGCAATAGCGATCGCAAAAATGTCATCGTTAAGCGATTTTGACGTCATGCGGGGTAAGCGTCTAGCGGGGCACCACTGTATTGCTTTTTTCACTTTGAAAAGGAACAGACCCCAAGAAAAAAATGAATCTCACTCCAAGGGAGGTTTCCTCAGCAGGCGATGGACATATTGAGCCTGAGATGCCTCTAGCAGGGATGTCTCCTCCTGCATGTGGAAGAAAACAGACATATTTGACTGCATGAATGACACTTTATAGTTGCAAAACTCAGCGTCTGCCCACCCACAGGGTTCTAACTGAGGAAAACAGATGTGAGGCTTTTAATTATAAATGTTTATTTTATTTTGTGCGTGCAACACAATGCGCTCCACTGGCCTCTCACTCCAGCAATAAACTGGGACAACTCCCTGTTCCCACTAATGTGCTATATCACTAAAGCTTGGAAACTGACTGCTATAAATTAATTTATGCCTGGCACACACTATAATGTTTAAAATAAACAACTCATTGCTGCTAATACAAAGGCAAATTCTCTACTGATTTTCTTCCTTGTTCCTTTCATTTTCCATCATTTTCTTTAAAAAAGTTAGGATTTGTCAAAATATCTGTTAAATTGCCTACGGCATCTTTTAAAGGCAACATTTAAAGGCAACTAGAAAACATTACTTCATACATCAGGAAAGTGAGTCTGTTCTTGGTTATATCTAAAATGTGATTTTCAGTCCAAATATACATTACGAGTAACCCCCACGATTATGGCTAAAATAGTTTTAATTTTTAAGAAATTGATCCAGGCGGACTTTTGTCTTGGAAGTCAAGCATGCAGCAAGGAACATGCTTCGGTCCTGATGACTAATCACGAAACAAAGCCAAGTTAATTTGCAAATTACAGGCAGCAAGAAAACTGCCTGCTGTGACAAAACCATGTAATCAGCTGTCAGGGAATTCTTTCCTATAACCATGGGCTATGTGAAACATGTACTGGCCCTTTGTTTGCCATTGTTACCACACACATAAAAGAGTAACTCATTCCAAGTAACTATATCACTTGCAACTCATTACTTGTAAGATCCCTCTAGTGATTACTCAGAGCATGAGAAACTGCCGCAGGATCTGCCAGTTTCCGGTGGAAAACCAAGGCAACCAAGGACAGTCAGGATGAGACCATTAGAAAAGAAAAGAAGGGGGGAGGGGAAGTACAATCCTTTTTTTTTAAAAAAAGCAATCTTACAAAAGGTATGTTTTATAATTATTGGTATCTATACAGTGGTGCCTCGCATAGCAACGTTAATCGGTGCAGCAGAAATCGCTGCTAAGCGATTTCGTCGCTATGCGATTTTAAAAAGCCCATAGGAATGCATTGAAACCCCTTCAATGCATTCCTATGGGCTTAAAACTGACCTTTAAGCGAAGATCCTCCATACGGCGGCCATTTTCGCTGCCTGGTAACCGAGGTATCAGTGCGAAAACACAGCAGGCGGCCATTTTTTTTACCTGGTGGCCATTTTGGAACCGCCGATCAGCTGGGGGAAAATCATCGCTTTGCGATAATCGGTAAGCGAAACAGGGAACCGATCATCACAAAGTGAAAAAACCCCATTCAGACCATCGCAAAGCGATCACAAAATCTTCATCGCTATCCGATTTCGTCGTTAAACGGGGCGCCCGTTAAGCGAGGCACCACTGTATTCTCAGGAACTCTTCAGAAAAAAATCACAAGTGAGCTTCCAACAGACCATGCAAGTATGTTTAAAAACAGGAGAATGAGATTTTGAAGATGACTGGCAACTTTTCAAAAAAAAAAGTTTCTTGGGAGGGGGGAGTTACAATTTAATTATGCAGGCTACACATTGATACACAGACTCCAGCAAAGGGGGGAGGATTTTTTTTGTTTCATTTAGTTTTTTTAAGATAAGAGAATAGATTACTTAGCAGATAATACTCACATCTAGAGAATCTAGGCCATACCGTGCTCTTATGGCTTTCACAAAAAGGCGAACAAATTGTCCTAGGAGGAAAACGTAGCACACCAAAGATGGCCATAGCAGAATTATTTTGTTATATTCGCCTAAAAACTATGCAAAGAAAACAAAATTAACAATGCACACCACTTGCCATGACTGCTTCTATTCTGTAAAGCTGGCTTAATCTATGAAACGGGAGATACCCAGGCTGGTCTGAACATTCATCCTGGCCTGCTCAGTGATAAGTATCTGCAAATCTTTATGGAAGAGAAAACCCTTTTTTGGTCCGGGGTCCAAATTCTTACTGGGAAACAACTATAGGGAGCGGGGCATATTTTTTATTAGCAGGAAATGTCACAGATAGGTGGTGGTGGTGGTGGTTTCAACTTATATGCCACCCTATAATGCTAAAGTACTCTCTGGACAGTTTACAAGAATTATACCAACTTCCCAGCAAGCTGGTTACTCATTTTGCTGACTTTGAAAGGATGGCAGGCAACACTGAGCCAGCCACCTGAGCCCATCAAGATCAAACTCATGTTGTGACTGGTGGCTTGACTACAGGAAGGTCACCCATTCAAACAACTCATGTAGTTAATAACAGACCAAATACAGTGGTGCCTCACTTAACGAGGATAATCTGTTCCAGCGAAATCGCTGTAGAGCGAAATCCTCGTTAAGCGAAATAAAAAATCCCATTGAAACACATTGAAAACCCGTTCAATGCGTTCCAATGGGCTGAAAAATTCACCATCCAGCGAAGATCCACCATAGGGGTGGCCATTTTCGGTGCCTGTATAGCGAGGAATCCATCCAAAAACACAGCAAGGAGCCATTTTACACAGTGGGTGGCCATTTTGAAGCCGCCAATCAGCTGTTTTAAAAATGTCCTAATGCGAAGAATTGGTTCCTGAAGCAGGGAACCGATTATCGCAAAGCAGATTTTGCCTATTAAAACATCATTTTGCGATCACAAAAGCGATCGCAAAACAGTCATCGTATAGAAGTTTTGTCGTTTAACAAGGCAACTGTTAAGTGAGGCACCACTGTATTAAGGTGATAACTAGAGACTTGTTCTCCCTCCCACTGCCTGGAGTGGCCAGCCAAGCAGGAAGAGAGCAGAGCTCCAGGTGCCATTGGAAGGATGAGTGGGACTGGTGCTGCAGCAGGACATGTGAGTGGACAGGGTCCAGTCCCATAGAGGCCGGAACCTCGGATATCCCCATCTCTTGTGATAACCTGTAAAAATACGTTGGGTCTCTCCGTAACCTGTTAGCATAACAGCCCCATTCATCATTGTTCTGAACTGTAATATTAATCATCCTTCTCCTCTCAGAACTGCAGAGCTGGAAGGGATCTTATGGATCATCAAGGAGGCACAGTGGGGAATCGAACTCCCCACTGTGTTTCAAAAAGTTACTTTTTAAACTATTCAGTGGTTCTTAACCTTTGTTACTCAGATGCTTTTGAACTGCAACTCCCAGAAAGCCCAGTCAGCACAGCTGGTGGTGAAGGCTTCTGGGAGTTGCAGTTCAAAACTCCTGAGTAACCCAAGGTTAAGAACCAGTGCTATAGATTCCTGAAGCGCTCAGCTAATTTAACTAGAGAGCCTTCAAGGAGGAATTCATTTGCACCATACATATGGAAGGGGTCCTTAAGCGTTTCTGCTCCAGGGATCAGATCCAGACATGTTAAGCTTTGGTGAGACAGCTGTGTCACACATTTTCAAGCTTGGCTAGCACCTTGAAGGCTATTTTCGCAGAGGGGGGAGCCATGCCCCAGCCCCCTTCTCCCCCTCCCCCAGCAAAAAAAGAAAAGCTACACATTCTGGAAGCCTCCATGAATGATGGTTTACCTTTGAAATAGGGCCTGCATTTTTTAACACTCCCCAAACATTATTTTCTGGAAATTGGAAGTGAATGTCAAGCCATTTCTAGTTAGTTAAATGGCTTCTTTCTTTCTTTCTTTCAGTATGCTGCCCCACCCCACCCCAGAAGTCCATGAGTGGCAAAAACCTGCCACTCTCATAACCACTAAGATTAGGGTTGCCAGATACATGGGTACTAAAAGGAGGACATAGAAAGACAAAAAGGAGGACAAAGGAGGACATATTGAATGTTTCATTTGAATCGTTCCAGATTAAAACCACAATCAATACAATTTTATTACAATAGCTGCCAATAAAGGTCTCTTAGTGAACCGACCAAGAAACAGTCAAGTTAAATAAATAAAAATAAATTCAATGGAGGCTTTTTTTCAAAATACCGGGAGTGGGTGGGCAGGTGGGGGTGGGGAAAGCCAGGGGAAGGGGATCCTTCCACCTCTCCCACTCGTATCCAAAATTATAACATAAAATATACAAAAGCCTGACATTTTAAAGATTTTTATCTTTGCCTGCCTGACGGAGGACATTAGGCTAAAAAGGAGGACATGTCCTCCTTTTGCCTGACATCTCGCAACCCTACACCAGTGAGCATTCTGCGCTCCACATAACTACAGTATTTTCTATGATGACTTCTCAGAGCCAGGCATTTTTATGAGATGGCCAAAGATGTTGACTGTGCTGACATAGAAGCTAATTGCCCACAAGCAGCACAGGGTACTTCAGGCACCCCATCATAAATGCCTCATTCTGAAAGGTCTCTGGAGCCCAGCAATTAGAAAGGTGTTAACAGAGTCCAAGATGAGTAAGGAAAAAGCAAATTCACCTCTCCTGGAGAGGGTAGAGCCACACTTGCACAGCCCTTAGTCACTGAGAAAGTCACTCAGGCAATCTTGGAAGAAACTGTGAACTCTTTTTAAAAAATATTTATTTAAGGACCAGGGTAGGGGAAATAGGGAAAATGGAAAAAGGGTTAGGGGGACAGGAGAACACAAAGTATACAATCATCCAATCAATTCATATTACAATAACAAATCAACTTTTTGCTTTTTCACAATTTGATTACCCTCCTGCTTTCATCTTAATATTAATTTTAGTTTAATTCTATGTTACTCCAACACTATCTGGTAACTGCAGCCATTTATACAATACATCCCATCGTTCAGTTTTCTTTTGAATTGAACATTCTTTCAGCCCATCTGACAGGATATCCATTTTTGTCATTTCCCATATTTTCCCAATAAGTTTCTCTTGTTTCAGTATCTCTGCTTTCTTGAGATTTTTTAACATAATGCTTTTTAATTTTGGAAGCTGCATAGGTCACTGGATGACTCTTTATCCCA